TGACTGTTTTGTAAGATATTATTTTCCCTGACTCAAACAACGTGTTTTAACAGGATAAACATCTGAGAAATATTGGGCGAGTCAATGGATTTGGAGAAACACAAATCACAGAGAGATTCTTGCTTGTGGTAGCGAGAATGTACGTTCCATTGACGGAGAGAAATATACAGATCAGACATTATGGGCACTTCGTATAATTTTGACATATGTTACGTTTATAAATTCCTGCAATGTATTGGAGGAGCTTGATATAGGTTTGCCAAAAAATCAGTCAGTGACGGTTCAAAAATGACAAGACTGGTTTCGATTTCGCTCAGCCGAAAGGAAGACAGGCAGTGTTGATGGTGTTAGCAAAATTCGTCAATCACTTGTACAAGTTAAAGTGGAAGGGGAAGTAGAGGAAGACGAACAACTGTGGTCATAATGTAATGTGGTTATTAGTCGTGCTGGAAAGCAGTTTATAGCGTGGTTTATCAATTATTATAGGAAAAGCAGATAATATTAATTGACTGAATTTCCGTGCCTACATAATTCAGTGTTGTTACAAAATATTGCATGTTGAGTTTCACTGGTTGGTTTCTTTATTGAAAGTATTAGATCAATATCCCGATATATTTTATAAATTTAATGATAAAAATATTACGGAATTACTGACGGAACATCATGCTCTTTATGCAACTTAGACCATGATGATGAGGAAGATATTAATATAGAAGGTAAATATGAAACTGAGTGCGAAACTCAGATTACTGTATACACTTTAGATGCAAAGTAGTCCTATCATTTTGTAACTATAACTGCATTAGTACGCAATAAGAAATAAAATAATTTTTTTTAGTACGTGATATCCAATGCGAGAAATTAAATTATATAATAATAAATGGCAACCTGGATACACAAACCAAGTCTGATAAGGTACTAACCCTGAATACCTGGATTGATATTCCAAATTAACTGATTTACTAACCACTATATCTGATAAACTTCGTTTCAAGTTATATAAAATATATAAGAAAAAACTGGGCTTAATCCTTGGATGGATTTCAATCTTTTGAGGAAAAGACTTTATTTGTACCGCAAGTAGATGTTCAATATCATCTGAACGACAATTCCCAATTTTTGTTCTACCTAAAGACCCGGAAGAAAGGCAACAACACGTTATTAAAATGGTATTAGAGCGATGTCCTTATTTAACGCTGAAACATAGCTTTAAAAATGATTACTTTGATTTTAATAGATCAGTACCCTGCCCTTTATGTAATAAAAACAAATATATATATATAATATAATATAGAAGGTATATGGGGCAGTGGTAATTATGTCAATACAAAAACGTATCATTCCTATTGTTATAAATAAATACCAAAATTCAATCCAAATAGTAACGGCGAAAGCATAGAGCATAAGAATAGCTAAAAATGTAAGTTAACTTTGAATATTATTTTACCTATACTGTAACTCAAAAGTATATATACTAATAATGTTTTCTGTTATTGAATGAGAAAAAGTGGGATACGATATTATAGTGAGCTGTAAATCGACGCGCCTTATTTTAGGAAAGTTATTTTACGCAAACACTTTATTGTTATAACACAATGAAAAATTGAGTGTTAAGATTGTTATTGTATGAATAATGTTTAGATATAGATAACTTTATGATGCAGTTTAGCAACCATTTATTAATACAACTTATATTATTTCTAATATACTACGCATAACAGTAATTTATTTTTAATAATAATAAGTATCAGCAATTTATAGTAAGGGTTATGCATTGTTCAGTGTTAAAAACTGTTCTAGCCCAATTCGAAATAGAGCTCGGTTCAAATTACAAGGTTGACTGTTGGCAACAGAAATGAGTTTGAGGTTGGGATGGGCAAAAATTAAAGAATAATATAAGGCAAAGTATTTTGAGGATTAAGACTTGTTTAATCAAAATTTGATAAAATAAATAAACTAGGAAATACTTACGCGGTCAAATACAGCACTCGACATTATTTGTAATACCAGATTTTTTTTTAACAAAATCACCGAAGAGATTGAAGTTGAAAAATGAACATTACAGAACGTAAGTTAATTTCTGTTTTAGATGTTTCCGAGTTTGAATCCCGTCTCGGTTTAATCAACTCAATTACTCGATCCAGAACTGAAACAGGTTCCAACTGAGATACTATAATTTCAAAGAAAAATTATAAATGCTAAGACGTGTATACGATGCATAGAAAAGTATAACGTTTTAAAATAAGCATCGTACCAGAAAATTGTCTTTTATTTTGTAAAACTATTTTAATCATCCTGACACTCAGACGTAAAGATGATTCGTTTGTTACGATTGAGATTAATAACGCATAAAACGTAAAAGTGTATGACTAAAGTTGACTATGGATAAAGAATGCAATTATGTAAGACGTATAAATCTTACATTACTGTGTTATGGTGAAGCGTGGTCAATTTAATTCATATTATTGTTACATGTTCTCAAATAATAGTCTTTTCTTTTTTAACCAATTTGCATTAATGTGCGCTAACCATAAATGCCTATTAGTATTAGACTACCAAATATTAAACTAAAAAGCCCTATGTAATGACATGTACAATCTCTCTGCAGTAAATACATAAAATAGAAAACTTGGGTCAACATTGAAAAAATACGCAAGTAGATTCAATTTCAATAGCACTGATGGGCTAATTATGTAATAATATAATGTTTAAAGTTGACTTTGTGCTGACTGTAGATAAGGAAATGTTTATCTCTAAACAAGCACAAGCCAATACAGAGTTGACACGGCTTGGATATTTTTACAAAATTACGAAACTTTGTAACGTTGATAAAGCTTCCTGATTACTTAATTAAACTCTATTTCTTAATCAAAACCTGGTCTGAACAAGGGGTGTACATTATTTGTTCTACTGTGTAATTGATCTTTATTACAAAAAATGTCCTCTGCATTGTACCTTTCCTATTATTCTGTGAAAAACTTCGGATTGACAAAAAGAAAAAAAGTATTGGTCAAGATACTAACCTATTGCCTTGCCATAAATTGTCATAACCAGTTTTCTGTAATCTAATAATAACAATTCCATGATATAATTTTTTTTTACATTTACCTTCTTGTTATATATAGTATAGTAATAGTAAGGTCTGCAAGTCAAATGTTTGTTCTCAAATCAATTGTTATTATTTAGTGACACAACACAATATTGAAAGATAATGCCTTCATTAGGTATATGCCCAACGTGGCTATATTTGACAGGCTTTAGGGTAAACTATTCAAGCCAATCGACTCGTAACTAGGGATAAGATGTTGGAATGTATTCTATTACGAAACGTATTTGAACATTTGTCGGTATTGAATTGGTTGTATAAAATTATCTACTGGTTATGTTCAATGTTAGTATACAATAAGTAAGAAAAAATTTTCGATTGTGAAACTTGCACACAATCTCTAATGTGTTGATTATTTTCTTAGTATATAATTGACGAGTCATGTGTGGCGAAGTTTAAACTCGCGTGTGTGACAGGGGTTTTTGATAATTTTTCTTCTCAATTTGCTTTATTATGATTATAATGTTTACAAAGGAAAATGGCGAAGAATGATCACATCTTTACAATATTGGTAATCCTGTACAGCGTACGTTAAAGTTTAAAATCTTTTTTTGTCGCGCTAACCATTGTGCCTACTGAATACAATACCGAAAAGGTTTGCAGATATTAAGGTTAATATTGTTCGTATAAAGAAAAAGGTATACGTTTTAAGCAGTAGCACAATAGTGTTGGGAAGATTTTTATTGTCTATCCATTTTTACAATATGTGTTACTTGAGTAACGCTGGCGACATCATCCCTTTGCCACAATTGGTCAGTACACGAAATAAGATCTTCAAATCTTGTACTGCATTTATATTGTACAGCTTGATATTTAATGCGCAGAACAGTGTGTGAACGTAAAATGTTAATATGTATGTTATAAGAAAAAAATTTTTTTTTCTACTCCGAAATTGTATTGAGAACCCCTTACGAAACATTAGTCTGTTCATTCGTCAATTTTATCGCTTTTGCAGCTGTCATGTCTGAATTCGGTCAATGAAGTTTAGTCTTAATCGGATTATTTCAATAAAATCTGTCACAGAAATAATTATCAAACAGAATTGCTGATAATCTTATCGGCAAGGGCCAACGCAATGCTTGCTTTTACGAAAACTGTCATACTTATCGCAATAAACGCCACACAGAGAATTTGGGACGACAATAAGTCTGCAACTGCATATGAAATAGAGAGTAGGTATGCACTGCATCGAATATCGAATTAAATGAGAATAATTTTAGTAATGAAAGACGGACGGAATTGACCGAACAGACCCGACCGAATCAAATATATCGATTTTTAACAAAGAGACTCAGGGATAAGGATATTACCGACTAAAAATTCGCACATATTGCAGCAGTATATTCTCTTTCTTCGACGCCTAACCTTATTTGCTATAATATATTTTTTTAATTGATTGTTTATAATGTGGAAAAAGACATTGGGAATGTATGCAATATGCAGCTTCAAATCATATAACATACATTATACCGTACGTTATCCTGACATTACAGACTTGCAATATAACGAACACAGATGAATACGAGATAGAAAACCACGAGACTGTTTTACTGTCAGTGATTGGCCGTATAACAATGTACAATCGAGGGTTATCTTGGCCATGTGATTACCCGTTGTCTGCACTTGCCAGTTTAGCTAATCATGGGTTCGTTTAGCTTCATGGTACTATAGTGAAATGGAAGAGTGATAGAAATGTTCCGACTAAAAATACCGCAAATAGTTATTAAAGTTTGAGCTAATGTTTATTTATAATTTAATACAAATCACAACGATAAGTTAATTGTGGAATATGTTTATGTGTACATTGTAAACGTTGTATTATATATAATATATATTGCTATATACGTGTATATGTGTAGATAAATGTCAACAGTTAGAAATACCATCAGGATAATTATATGCTGAATGTTCGAATACATAAAAAGGCCGCAAGTTCATACCTGACCGTTGAATGTGAATCAATATTTTCGTCTATCGGTATCGGTGCAAGTGCAATCATCTGTGGCGAGTATAAATTCTCCTGGAGACAGAAAACCAACGGTTGACCGTTGTAAATTTCGAAATGATTGCACAGCTGTTGTGTCTGAATGTTGTTAGGGTTATCTACCTCATCAGTAAGTTTGGCCGATTCGAATAGGAAATCGGGTAACGTCCTCACAGCATCTGGTGGCGTGGGAGGGCAAAAGTTGCTATAGTCTTGGTTGTTTAAATGTTGTGCCAAAAGAATTGTTGAGGTGCGAATGCCCTCGTCAAAAAAATTTCCTGAATTGTAATTACATTCAAATTGGTTATTGGGTAACGTATCTAGCGGGGGCAGGACAAGAGTCTGTGGTATTTAAGCATTGTGTTGACGGAGGTCGAATGTTGGTAGTACCCTCGCTATTAGTATCTACTGAACTGGAATGTAATCCAAGCTGGCTATCGGCTAACGCATCTGTCGGAGTAGAAGAAGAACAAGGGTCGACGGTGTCTTTTACATGTTTTGGTGTAGGAGATTTAAGTCCCTTCAATTTTTTTGAACTTTTTTTTTGGGCTTTGCGGATTATATAATTTAAATTCATAATTATTAGGTTTCTCGTCTGCAAGTCCCTCATATATGTCTGTGTAATGCTTTTTAAGAACATCATCGGCCATTTTCCAACATTCGCGACCCAGAGATGAGGCCCTTCCAATAGTGCATTTAAGCGAACGTTGGACATCACTTCTGAAAATGAGATACGGATTTGGCGCTCTCTTGTAGCTTTTATTAGCACGTTTCTATAATTACGACAATTGAAGAAGAAAGTAATTAATGTTAACGTATTATACAAGGGAAATTTTTTATAAAATCTCTTTTCAGCGTCAATACATAGCGTAGATAGATTTAATTAAACCATTTCACGTAATTTTAAGCGTTGAGTGTCAATTGTACATTCAAAAAAGAATCAAAAACGAACTAGATAAGTTATTCGTTGCGAGACTGTATGAAGTAACTTGTAGAACAGGTAATTTTGTCAACAAGGAATAAACGAAAAGTAAAAAATTATAAACTCACTTCTTGTAGTGTGATAATATCAAGTTTGTGTACTTGAGTTGGTGAAATTTCTATTACATATGACAAATCGCTAGCGTTACCGATGCGTAAAAATCTCATTTTGCAAAAGTAATAACGAAAGCTACGGAGTTAACATCCGCCTTGCCTTTTGGGCTCCCGCTTTTATTTAAATACCAGTAGTGTTACAAATGTAGATAAGAGAATCCATGTTAGTATGAACAATAGTGGCAGTAAAAATACGCCCACAAAAAACTGTACATGCACTGTAACACCTGCATTATCAATAATTGAGCCTTGTCTATTGAAAGTTTTACATGCGCAAACTCGTACTTTTGTTAAGAAAACTCCTAATGTTTATTTTGACCAAAGGCTCTCATTACCTTGAATAAGTCGACTTTACTCTTTAAAGTCAATTGTCAGCTGTGTATATTCGTCTTCATCCAATGCAATGCTCTCATGCCCAGCAAGGTTGTGCTATTTTTAGTGATCAAAGAAATGGACCAATGAGAAACGTTGTTAAAAGTCACACGATTATATTATCACTGTTGATAAAGTAATCGTTTGTAGGCATTTATTTTTCTAACGCCCTGTACAGTATACCCCATTGCTAAGAGGCGGATTTGGCATTGTCTACATTAATTTCAATAACAATCTGATTGTGTTGTGCATATATGGGTTTTAGCTACAAGCCGATAAATTAGTAAATATTAAAAGCATTGAGAAAACAACCCCAGGAAAGGAAGTAACAAATATGCAAATTTTCGTTTGCTCACTATTTCGCAACGTAACAAGTATTATATTAACAAAGGGTAATTGCGGTGATAGTTTTGTTGCTTGTAATGAATTGCATGAGATGCGACAAGGTGAGACAGTTTTTAAAAGCAAACGTTGCTTGATTGCTGTAGCGGTTGCATCAATGTGGGATAATTTTTGGTCAAAATATATCCAGAAAACTCTTGTTTTCTAGAATTATATTAATATAACATTCGAGTAGATAATAATAAGAAAAAGTCTTAATTACAAATTAATTATTTCCAATCTTCCGGTATGCGAACTATTATTGCTGCACCAAAATACTTTGACACTGAATTTGCTTAACCATGATAACTTGATATTCGTGATAAACTTTTTTTTATGTGTTATTGATCTTACTATGCCATTATGCAAAAAAAAGTATTACATTCTACAACCAGGGGGTTTTTTTTTTAATATTTAAGCTTTTGTGATGTAGAAATCCTCCAATTGTATACACTAATAAAGGTAATAATCTAATTGTATAATTATCAATTATTTTTATACGTCAGTGTTTATTACAGATAAATTACATGTGCAATTACATACTAACCATATGGCCAATTTATTCGGGTATGAAGATTTTGTTCTATGTAATAGTAAACTGTTTCCTTGTGGGCAATTTAATTGATATCATTGGTACATGTTTTTAAATAATAGTATTTTCTTCTTTAACTAATTTGCATTAATAGATATTATGTTGCATAATAATGTGCGCTAACTATAAATGCCTATTAGTATTAGACTACCACTAAAAAGCCCTATGTAATAAGATGTACAATCCCTCCGCAGTAAATACATAAAATAGAAAACTTGGGTCAACATTGAAAAAAATACGCAAGTAGATTCAATTTCAATAGTACGAAGGTTGTTCATGATGCACAAATGGGCTAATTATGTAACAATATAACGTTTAAAGTTGACTTTGTGCTGACTGTAGAAAAGGAAATGTTTATTATTATATCTGAACAGGCACAAGCCAAGACAGAGTTGACACGGCTTGAGTATTTTTACAAAATTACGAAACTTTGTAACGTTGATAAAGCCTCCTAATTACTTAATTAAACTCTATTTTTTAATCAAAACCTGGTCTCAACAAGGGGTGTACATTATTTGTTCTACTGTGTAATTAATCTTTATTACAAAAAAAATGTCCTCTGCATTGTACCTTTCTTATTATTCTGTGGAAAGCTTTGGATTAAAAAAGTATTGGTCAAGATACTAACCTATTGCCTTGCCATAAATTGTCATAACCAGTTTTCTGTAATCTAATAATA